ATGTATATATATATATATATATATATATATATATATATATATGTGTGTGTGTGTGTGTGTGTGTGTATATATATATATATGTGTATGTATATATATATATGTGTGTGTGTGTGTGTATACAGTGTATGTATATATATATATATATATATATATATATATATATATATATATATATGTGTATGTATGTGTGTGTGTGTGTGTGTGTATATATATATATCGTGAAAGGCCTGAAAGAGGCCATTTGAAAATTCTCTGATTCTTTCTGTTTCCATTTAAGTGGGTAAAATGTGATTTTTATTCTGTACTAAACCCTCTACTGGTGATAACATTTCTTCCAAATTTTAAATAAAAATGTGATTTAGATCATTTTTGAATATAAAAAAGGTTTATGTTATTTTTTTAAGATAATACAGCATCAGTATTTAGCTTCAGAAGAGTCATGAAGTCAGCATTTTGGTGTGAAAATCTCTCTTTCGCAATCACAACGAATGAAAACTTTGGTTATTCTGACAAATGATTTAAAAAATGCTCTGACAATAAAATTTAGAAGAAATGTTATCAGACATTATAGACACTGAAAAATATCAACAGCATTTTCGAAATCCCATATATACTACTTCCATAAAAATGACATTTTCTGAATTAACAAGTGCTCTCTCATTTTTTTTCATAGCTTTATATTGTATCTAATATTTCCTTTTAATTTTTGTTCTGAGTTTTTTTTAATGGAGAGCAGATGATGGTGATGTTGGTTTAGTTTTTTTCTCTTTATTTCCTAAAGAGGACATCTGTATAGTCTCGCACAAGCTGATAAGACCCTTCAAGGCCAAAACTAATCTGCAAGGTCAAATTCCAATTCATTCTGCTCACATTGTTAAAAAGCACTTCTGTTCAGACGGAACCAGAGCTTTGCTGAAGACAACAATTAATCCATTTCCAGGCTCATTTCTTTGAATCTGAGTCTCTGTTCTTACTTTTGACGACTTTAACACACACAGGAATTATTAGCATTTTTAATTTTTAGCAACTTTAAACATGTAATTATGAACATTTTGATCAACTTTAAACATATTGTAAATTGTTGTGTAAACTTTTAAATAGGTTATATTAGTTAATGTGGATGTATTTACTAAAAGGAACAAATTATGCAAAACATTTATTAATTTATTAATATTAATATAAAATTAATAGTGTCTTCTGGAGGATTGTTATGTATCATTGATCAAATTTAATTATTTTTTTGTTCAGTAGTGTTGTTATTTGCATGTTTTTGTGCAGTGAATGATTAAGAAACGGTTAAAATTGTAATCTTAACAAGTGTGAATTTTAAATTTTAAACTGATTATTAAATTCTGCTCAAACATTGTTCATTATTTGTTCATGTTAGTAACTACATTCGACAAATGAAACCTTTATTTTAAAGTGTGACCTTAAAAATTCATTCATTTTCTTTCGGCTTAGTCCCTTTGTTATCAGGGGTCGCCACAACGTAATGAACCGCCAACTAATTCCGTATAAACTACAGCCAATTTAGCTTATTCAATTCCCCTATAGTGCATGTGTTTGGACTGTGGAGCAAGTCGGAGCAAGGAAACTCGCACCAACATGGGGAGAACATGCAAACTCCACGCAGAAATGCCAACTGACTCAACTGGGACTGAAACCAGTGACCTTGCTGTGAGGCTACAGTGCTAACCATTGAGCCACTGTTCGGCCAACCTTAAAAGTAAATTTATTTTAATAAATACTCAGACAAAAAAAATTGTAGTCTTGTATTTTATTTATAGCCATGCATCTCTAAGAATCATTGCCTAATTATGTCAAAAGAATAAATGTGTCGGGTTACATGCTTTGTTTGATACATAACTGGTTGAGTCCATATGAATAAATCATTGTTGCTAAGCTAATAAAATAAAATTAGCTTAAAGTCAGTGCAGAAATTCTAGACTATTGCTAAAACAAAAAAAACAAAAAAAGTTTAAAACAGGCCTACTGTCTGACGAAATTCTGAGAAAGGTCTGGATGCAAACCGGGTGCAAATACAAGGTAAGACTGCATGCAATGCTTTTCATGCATATACTTAACCCTACCCAAAGACTCTAGAATACACAGGACGTGTCACTCATAGTTTTCAATGGGGAAAATTGTAATGATCAATATGGAAAATGAAGCCCCGCCTACTAGTACAGCAGCCAATCATCGATCGCTATAGACTGACGTTTCTCCAGGGGAGAAGCTCAGACCAAACTTAGATACGACATTTTGTGGGCAGCACCCTGAGTCCCTGGTTCACTTATTTTGGCAATGCAATTACTCTAGGTTGCTTTGGAAAGACTTCTCACTTTTTATAATTGAGAATGTTGATGAGGAATTTTCCTTGCTGTGGGAGAATGTTTTATTTGGTTTTGTTAATTATGGAACGGGGGCTTTACATAAAAAGAAAACATATTTTCTTAATCTTCTTGTCTTATTAACAAAATTTTACATCCATAAATGTAAATTTTCAAACCAAAAACCTTTTTTTTATATTTTGCTTACTGAAATGCAGTATTACTTTGAAACAGTGTCTAACTCTTTTACAAAAAGGCTTTAAAAACAACTGAAATTTGTAAATTATATAATCTTTTTCTTTAACTTGTAATGTATTTACCCCTCCTGTTTTTTTGTTGTTTGTTTGTTTATTTTTTTGTTATCTGTTGTTGTTTCTTTTTCCAAAATTGTTGCTCTTTTTGTCTCTTTGATTTCTTGTTAACATACTGTGATTATATATTCTAACTTTCGTATATTAAAAAAAATAAAAATAAAAAATGTTTATACGACATAAATATATCCACATAAAGCTTGACGTCTGTACGTTTAAATGAACCAGCTACACTTAAAAACTAAAGTTTTTTGGTTTAGTAATCTGTGTATCCGCAGCTTAAATCAGGCCTGAATTTTCCGCATACAGAGATGATCGGAACTCCCGGACTACTCTCCTTTAAAAATGAATGACTTCCAGTCTGTCGTTTGTCAGATGCAGTGGAAAGGCAGCTTTAAAGGGACTTTGCCCTACCTCCTCCTCACAACGATGTCATCAGCTCTATTGAGTGCATGTGTCTAAGGGTGCTTTCACACTTGTGAATCGATTCAGTTGTTCCGAAACAGAGATTACAATTGTTACATTGTTGCTCTTTGCTCTTGGAGCGGTTGGCTTTCACATTGCAAAGTTTCTAATCGGACCAAAAGAGCTAAAACAAGTCACGTGCGAGTAAACTCTCCTCACATTGGTCAGAGTGTCGGGGTTTATTTTGCAGCGTCCCGCTAAACTGTCAGGAGAGGTGGTGGTTTGATGGTGATTGCCAAACGAACCGCGCTAACTGGGCAATCGAGACACGTTCCGAAACAAAAGTGTAGGTGTGAAAGCACCCTAAAGCCCCTTTCACACATACAGACCTTTTCGGAAAATTACCGGCAATTTTCCGGAAAGGTTGTATGTGTGAACAGGCCCTTTTTGAAAATACCGGTAAAATCGTTCTGGCTATATTCCGGAAAAAGAAGTTGTAACATTACCGGTAATTTGCTGGAATGCTGCGCTGTGTGAATGCAGAAGGAAGATTGCCGGTGTTACACCATATTCTGTGACCGTCGAAATCTGTGACCCAGGGGGCGTGGCTGCGTGTTAAGGCTGATTTATACTTCTGCGTCAAACACCGGCGTATGCTACGGCGCTGACGCATAGCCCTTCGCCGTGGCCATTGCCGTCACTGACGTGCACCTCTCAAAAAATGTAACTACACGTCGCAACGACGCGTAGTGCAAGCTCTGTGATTGGTCGGCTTGGTAGCACTGACGAGTCTGGGCGGGACTGAGAGCCGCGCGAATGGCGCGACGCCGCGCGAGCGATTGTTTACAAGTGTGGAGTACCGTGAATGAGCTCCGGATGGAAAGTTTTGTTTTGTGTTTACCTCATAGTTAAAGTTGTTGCACGTCCGCCGGTTCCTGCCTCAAAATGAGCTAGTTTGAGCCACTTGTACATACAGGAAGTGTTCAGGAAATGCAAAAAAGTAGCGAAGAAACTCGACACAGAGGAACATTTACACCTCACTGCCAACTAGCGTTTCGGAAGTGTTAATGCAGACTGACAGAGACAGCGCGCAGAAGTATAAATGCACAGCCACGCGCGTTGCCTGCGCCGTGAGTTACGCCGGTCACTTGACGCAGAAGTATAAATCAGGCTTTAGAGCACGTACACGTCTAGAATGTGCTGACGTGAGACGTCTACTTTAGCCAATCAGAACAGTCAGACGCATTCACGTGCGCGCGGTTTATGAGAATAAAAGTCTTTGAATATTTTTCCAGACACATTTAGCTGCTAGATGTTAGTCAGATAACGTTTCTATGTTCCTTCTTAATGCTAACTGTGTAAATAATTATCGATAAAATGTTTATGATAATCCGTTGTTTGTTTACCTTCAAGCTTTGCGTGTGCCCGTGAGCGCCAGCACACACACATATCATGAACATCTCGACATGCGAAAGTGTTTAAGATTGCATGTAGCCAGATGCTATTGGAAATTCTAAACTAATCTAGCAAGCGCGATTAAAAAGCATGTAAAAACCACACCCTTGACTTTCCAGTGTACTTTTGAACTCCCTTTTACTCTCAAAAGGATTTTCAGAGTATGGTGCAGCCACAGTTTCGCAGCGGTCTCTCACTATCAGTATCAGCATGATCAGCGGCGCTGCTCTTTGATTTCATCTCATCTTTTAAGTCCGAATCATCATCATCATCATCATCATCATGCACTCGAACCATCGCTACCAAACACATCTGATAAGAGACTTCACCATCTCCAACGCTCCTCAGAAAATCTTCAACACTCTCAAATGATTGGATGCTCTTCAGGAGGCTCCTTGAGATGTGAAATGTGTCGTTCGGGTCGTAATCAAACTTATCTTTGTGTGTGGTTGCGTATATTTTCCCAAAACACTGCTTTTGTTGCGTGGTGGTGACGATGATGCGGTCTGTGTTTTGGAGATCATTCTGGACGTACTTATTTTTTTTCACGTAATCCTTCAACATGTTTGCTTGAGGCGAATACAGATTCCCGACCACATAGTATGATGAATCTATGTCTGGAAGAAGTTTCTCGTTGCGGTCGTTGCTTCTGTTCTCAAAGGGGTGAAAGCCAAAGATTCCTGTCGTCGGGTCGCACGCCAGGAACATTTCGTCGTCGTTTTCCCAAATGCACTCTTTCACAAACCAGTATAAGAGCTGGAGTCCGTGTTTGGGCCACGGCTTACCAAATCGACTCATTTGGAGATCATGTATAGTTCTTAGTTTTCTCGGAACAGTCCTCATCTGATGGAGAGATTAAAATTAGATGCTACATTTTAGTCTGGCTTGATTGTAAAACATGGGCCTATTGGTGTTCAAATATCGCTATTTAAATGTCAAAACATGCTGGTATGAAAATAAAATATAAACATACCTAAAATTTGTTTTTAAATACTTGCACTGTAACAAATTATAGGATCAAGAAAAGTCATGACAACAATTTTTTGTTACGTTACTTTATTTTCATACATTAATAAGTGATTACATTTTACAATTATTTCAACTTACTTTGCATAACTTAAAAAATCAAGTTGAAACCTAATCAACGTATGAAATTAAATATTTATTAATAAATATGTTTTTAAATACTTGTACTGTAAAAAAATTGATTAAGAAGTCATGACAACAATTTTTTGTTTCTGTAATTTATTTTCATACGTTGATAAGACTGCAACTTGAATTTTTATGTTATGCAAATTTTAACAAGTCGTTTTAATTCATGTAAGTTGAAATAAATTGTGAAAACTTTTTCAAATGTCAAACTAAAGATGCTAGTATAAATTAAAATATAAATGTGCATTAATGTTTTTAAATGCCTACACTAACAAATTAAATGATCAAAAAGTCAGTACTTTACATTTTTAAATGCACCGTAACAAATTCTATGATCAAGAAGCCATGACAACTTAAATTTTTGTTAGTTTAACTTGATTTCATACGTTGAGAAGGTTTCAGATTGATTTTTTAAGTCATGCAAATTTTTATTTAAGTCGTGTTAATGTTGAATAAAAATATAAATGTGTTAATTAATGTTTTTAAATACTTACACTAACAAATTAAATGATCATTAAGTCAATACTTTACATAAATACAATGTAACAAATTCTATGATCAAACGGTCATTAAAACCTAAGTTTTTGTTACTTTTACTTATTTTCATACTTAGATTAGGTTGATTTTTTTTTTTTTTTTTTTTTTTTTTTTTTTTTTTTTTTAGCAAATTTTTGATTAAGTCGTGTTGATGTTGAATAACTTTTTTCAAATGTCAAACTTATGATGCTGGGATGAAAATCAGACATAAGCATTCTTTTTTTTTGTTACATTTTTAAATGCAACGTAACAAATTATATGATCAAAAAGTCATGCTGGTCATATAACATTTTTTGTTACTGTAATGGAAATTCATTTTTGGATGACCTTTGTATAGTGGACACTTGTTTGAGACTCATTTTAGACGTGTGGGCCTAATGGTAAAATCACTTAAAAAAAATCACCATAAAAACTGTGTACATTTCCTCTATACAACCATCTTCCTGTGGGTACTTATCTGGTACTTGTCTTCATCCTAAGGATTTCGCTAAAAGGCTATGTGAGGGTTAACTTTAAGGGTCCACATCAACGAAATTTGTGGTTACTCAAGAAAGATGTATGGTTGTTGTTAGGACATATAGAAGAAACAGCGGAAAACGCCTGACGCACGTACAGAATAGGCCTTATTAGGATTTGACCTCGTAAGCAGTACAAACCAGATAAAAGGGTGAACGCATTTTGCTTCAGGGTCTCACTCTGCAGAAACTGTAGTTGCTGTATGATTGTGACCGTCTTTATGAAGAATAAAACTTTGAAAAGACATCCCGGGTAAGACTTTGTTTCTTGACCACTGAGAGAGCCTCTTTAAAGAAAATTGCCACTACAGTTACTTTAACTTATTTACATATATTGTTAAGGTTTCAACTTTTAAATTTTTGAAGTGATGCAAATTTTAAGCTGAAGTAACTTGTAAAAAATTTATAAAATGTCAAACTAAACATTGTAGTATTAAAATAAAATGTAAACATACAATAATTAAATACATGAAATATGTTTTAAATACTTGGACTATGTCAAATTATATGATCATGATGTCATGACAATTTTTTTGTTACTTTAGCTTAATTTTATAAATATGCTAAAGTATGCTTAAAATATAATTAAAAATATGCTTATATCGATATGCTATTTTTAACTTAAGTCATCATAATTAATGTGTTTAAATAACTTTTTCAAATGTCAAACTAAACATGAAAATAAAATATATGCGTACATTAATTAAATACTTTAAGTATGGTTTTACATGCTTATACATTAACAAATTATGATCAAAAAGTCATGATAACTTAAGTTTTGTTAATTTCATACGTTGATTTGGTTTCATCTTGGTTTTTTAAGTTATGCAAATTTTAAATAAAGTCCTGTTAATTAATGTTGAAATGACTTTTTCAGGTGACGTCAAACTAAACATGCAGTATAAAACTAAAATATAAATGTGCATTAAATACTTTAAATATTTTTATTTAACTTATTTTCATGCACTGATAAAGTTAAAAACTTTATTTTTTTAAGTTGTGCAAATTTTAACTAAAGTCATCTTAATTAATGTAAGTTGAAGTGACTTGTAAACTGTAAAAACTTTTTCAAATGTCAAACTAAACATGAAAATAAAATATATACGTACATTAATTAAATACTTTAAGTATGGTTTTACATGCTTATACATTAACAAATTATGATCAAAAAGTCATGATAACTTAAGTTTTGTTAATTTCATACGGTGATTTGGTTTCAACTTGGTTTTTTAAGTTATGCAAATTTTAACTAAAGTCCTCTTAATTAATGTTGAAATGACTTTTTCAGATGTCAAACTAAACATGCAGTATAAAACTAAAATATAAATGTGCATTAAATACTTTAAATATTTTTGTTTAACTTATTTTCATGCACTGATAAAGTTAAAAACTTGTGCAAATTTTAACTAAAGTCCTCTTAAATAATGTAAGTTGAAATGACTTGTAAACTAATAGCTTTTTCAAATGTCAAACTAAACATGCTATATAAAATGAATATATCAACATATGTTAATTAAATACTTTGTTTTTAAATGCACTGTAAAAAAATTATGATCAAGAAGTCATGACAACAAATTTTTTGTTACTTTAACTTAATTTCACACATTGATAAGGTTTTAACTTGATTTTTTAAGTTGATTTTTTAAGTCGTCTTAATGTAAGTTGAAATAAATTGTACATTTTTCAAATGTCAAACTAAACTTTGTTAGTATCAAATAAATATAAAGTACGTTAATTAAATATTTTTTTAAATACTTACACTATAGCAATTTAGATGATCAAAAAGTCATGACAACTTGCGTTTTTCTTATTTAACCTATTTTCATACGTTGATAAGGTTTCAGCTTGATTTTAAGTTACTGAGCCGCCCGCATTTGCTGACATATTACTAAAAATAAATAATTTGCCTAAATTAGAATTTAAAATGCCTGTAGGGCTTCTTAGATAAAAGGCTTCCTACATAAAATGCAAATAAATGTCGGATAATGTTTTATTTAACTCCTTTGTGTTTATCATCAAATAGTTTCTGTTTTATTGTGGAGGCAATAAAACAAAACATTCGTTCATTCATTTTGGCTTAGTCCCTTTATTTATCAGGGGTCGCCACAGCGGAATGAACCGCCAACTTATCCAGCATATGTTTTACGCAGCGGATGCCCTTCCAGCTGCAACCCAGTACTGGAAAATAAAACAAAACAATGTGATTTAAACATTGAAAAGCTTCATGTAGGTAATTATGTATTGTTGTTATGTACATATACTAATAATTTCAGTCCAGTAAATGTACATTTTTAAATTTTACTTGCAAAATAAGTGTTTCTTATGATTACTTTACCCCCCCTCCCCAAAAAAAAAGAGATTTCTCTCCAAAAAAAAGAGCTGAACCACAATAAACAATTTCACACAAAGCCATTTAATTGCTATATATAAGTGTAAATGATCAATAAAGTAAGATAGAGCATGTAAGATTCTCGTGAACTGCGTATTTAGAAATTTGCATACTAGCTGCCTTTTTTCTGACCTTAAAAACGACGGTAATGCACTTAAAATTTGCTACCCATCAATAGAAACTGCAAAAATCACAGAATTAAATGTTGTAATAATTAAATAACTCTAAAAGAATGACTTCACCTGCATTTCTTTAACCGGACGTGGCATTGTGGAGGATCCTTTAGTTCAGCAGCAGTGGTGAAAGAGAGGATGCAGCAGAGCAAATGGCTGAACTGATAATGAAAGGGTTGGAGTGTGTTTTTGAGAATCAGACCTCCTCTAACCGTTTCCTAGGCGTGGTTTAAGTTGAAATGTTTTCGTTTGAGCTCTTATTATGTTGGCTTGAGAAAGCCAACATACTGTAATGCTACTTAAACTTTATTCTTATTATTATTATTATCTTATTATTATTCCGGCTTCTGACCAAAAAAAAGCAATCGCTTCTCCTCCCAGGGCTTAGATGCTACAAGCCCCAAATTTGGTCAAAAGCTGCCTACTGCTCATGAGATGGTTGCTGTATGTCCTCATCCTGATAAGATTTGTAGTTTTTGAATTAAAAATTTTTTAATTAAAAAATTGTATCGAGTATTTGGGGCATATAAAAAAGTATACAATCCTCAAATTTGGCCAAAAGATGTGTTTGAAATTACAGATAATTATCATATTTATTTGGTGTAATTATAAATAACAGTTTTCCTATAAATATTTTTTTATATTAAATTTGTAAAATTCAGACTCAAAGCGTGTCAGAGTGTCCACGAGATGGCGCCAGAAGACTATTTTTGAGCCCTTTGTAATTTAGTACTGGCCCTTTAAGAGGCGGGGATATCCGGACTGACTGTTTTGAATCTACAGAAATTCGGGCTCATTACAGACGTGCTTGTTACAACATTTGAAGCTGAAATTGCGACCATTTTGGTCGCATATGCGCCTGAAAATTAATCTATGCGACCTCATAACATATTTGGGCGCATTAGTGCGACTGCAGATAATGGTTGTAGTGCGACCTGTTTTGATTTTTTGTAAAAACGTGCTGAATCGCTCTTCCCTGCCGCTATATTGGTTCATATTAGCTGTCAATCACTCAAGGTATTCCGCTGTCAGATGACAGGGAAGGAGCTTTTATGACCACGGGAAATGCAAACGGCTGAAGAGTAAAAACTTAAAGCACACAGGTTTGCAAACCCCACCTAAAATTGAGGTGTAGATGAGAGAGATCGTGACACGTCACGTGGTGAATAATGATCCACCAGCTGAGATCACTGAAACTGCGGCTCATAACAAAGACCAGTATTGCGCCGATGGTTAGTGCAAGAATCCTGCTCTGCCTGCTCATAAATTGGGTCGGCTGACTCGCCAGCTTTTCCACAAACACAGAAAAATGAAGATCATCTCAGACTGAACCTTTAAATTGACACAAACTGAAACCAAAACTTTTAAAGAGTGATAGAAGTGAGACTTTACTTTCTTACTTTTGTCTATTCTTTTTTGAGGTGTATATTATTATTTTTTTTATTTACTGATGACTGCTTTGCAGCTTTCATCATTGAATTGAATTATTTATTATAATCTTTTGTTTGTTTTGTAGCAGAAAAATTATTTATTAAATTGACATGCATATAAAAACAGCAGTACAAAATAAATATTTCTAACTGCAATGCTTCATTTTTGTTTGATGCAAACTATACAATTATTTTATATAAAGTAACAGACTTTTAATTGCAGATAACCTACATTCATGCACATTCAAGGCAGTATCATAATGAGAAATGGAATTCATTGTTACTATTATTGTCATTTTCATCATCACTAATATTCTATGGCCTAATTATTAGACATTAATTTTAGAATTATTGCACACAAATATCAATGTCTTCGCAGCATTAGTTAGATAGTTGTTTCTGGTTTTTGTCAGTCCTATTGATGTTGTTTTAAAATACAATAAATCCCTTAAAAAGCAATTTGCAGCGGTGCTCATTCATTTTTGGTTGGTGCTCCTAAATTTTTTCTGGTGCTCCTAAATTTATTTTGGTGCCCCTGAATATTTGAAGTTGGGAGCACCGGTGCTACCAAGTAAAAAAGTTAATTTCGAGCCCTATATATATATATATATATATATATATATATATATATATATATATATA